GGAATTCTGGGAGTTGAAGTCCACCCATCTTAAAGTTGCTGAGGTTGAGAAACCCTGCTCTAGTATAACAAATGCCTTTTAAAAATAAGGACAATAAACTACCCTCCAATTGCAAATCATTTAAGAAGACTGAGCGTAAATCTTACCCAATTCCTCATATCTTTTTTGAATGCTGTCATAGATTTGTGACATGAATCTGTCCATTTTTCTTCCACAGAAGCCCCAGCTGTAGCTGAAGGTGGGTTCCTTTGGAATGATCTGCCTGCCTGCTGCCTGCCTGCCTGCCTGCCTGCCTGCCTGCCTGCCTGCTCTCATTTTAATTCACTCGCCTGCCCAGGCATTCACACTTCTGCCCAAACTCATCCTGTGTGTTGGCTTCATTGCCTCAGTGCCCTCTCTAACCTGCACAGCACTGTGTTCTGTACAGGGGCAGTTGCTTGCACGCTATTGGTTGGCAGTTCTCTTTGCCAGCAAGAAATTGTTTCAGGGAAAAACAGATGTATGTGTGAGAGCTTTGCCTGGCAATGCATGACAGAGCAACAGGCAGAGATAGACTGTTTCTGTGTTCCCCTTAGGTCCCTAACAGGGTCATCCACAAGGCAACACGTCAGAGTCTGCCAGATGGTGGCTGGAGCTTCAGTCATGATGCCATGCCCCCCATCAGATTTTCTCACACTCACACCCCCCCACACACACAGATGCCCCCAGTCCCTAGAATTCCTCTCAGATGAGAGAATAATTGTAACATTCTTGAGCCTAGCACTGAGTAGGTATCCAAGAGGGAAAAAATGGTAATTTCTTGTTGTGTGAAATGAAACAAGAAGCAGGTGTTACAGAACAGTTTCTTGTTTTACTTCAGAAGGGGTGGGAAACAAGGCACTTTTGGGGCAGTCCCATTCTGGTTATCTCAGTGGCAGTTGTCACTCTGCTAAGAACACCAGCCAGCCAGCCTCTAGCTTCCTTTTCTTTTTCTTAGGTTCGATGATGGATTTGTCAAAAGGTTTCTCTTTTCTCCAATACACTAGTATAGATTTATTTACAGCTTTTTTTCCTAGAAGGATTTTGTTCAGGTCTTCCTTATTCCTTCTACATTCTGTGTTTGCTCTAGACCGAAGTTTCTCAACCGTGGCAACTTGAAGGTGGGTGGACTTCCACTCCCAGAATTCCCCAGCCAGCGTGGGAGTGGAAGT